CTTCCAGAATTTATTTGTCAACTGCGATTGTCAAGGTTTATGATTGCAAAGGAAATACACATAACTGTAGAGTCTTGTTAGACAGCGGCTCTCAATTGAATTTTGTGACAGCAGAATTAGTAAGTAAATTACAACTGAAGGGGCGTCCGATACGTATGTCAATTTCTGGAGTAGCTGAGGGCGTGTTTGAGTCAAAGGAAACAGTCAGAATAAAATTACAGTCTAGGGCAAATGCGTATCAGGACAATATTGATTGCGTAATTCTTCCTAAAATCACGCAAAGATTACCACAGGAATTTTGTCCTGTTTCTTCTTTTAAGCTTCCGCCTAATATAGCGTTAGCGGATCCCAATTTTAATGTTCCTGCTGATATTGACATGTTAATAGGTGCACAATCATTTTGGCAATTGCTTTGTATTGGCCAAATCAAGGCATGCGAGGCGCATCCTACTCTCCAAAAGACAAAGTTGGGTTGGGTGATTTCCGGTATGAAGCAGGAATCATCTGACAAGTGTGTAACTGCATCATGTCACGCGGTGGTCTTGGAAGATTTAAATAAAACTATTGCGAGATTTTGGGAAGTTGAGCATAATTTTTCTTCCAATCGTATGTCTAAGTATACTCGTGAGGAACAAGCTTGTGAAACTCACTTTCAACAAAACGCACGTCGCGATTCTACAGGTCGTTTTATAGTGCACCTCCCTATAGACAAGGAAANGGTTCAGTTGTTGGGTGACTCGGAGGAGAAGGCAAGGCGTCGTTTTTTTAGTCTGGAAAGACGCCTCCTAACTCAGCCTGATACGTATTCTGAGTATCGGAAGTTCATGCAAGAATACGTCGATTTAGGTCACATGCGCGAAGTCGTAAACGCAGTAGACAGTGGTGTATCCTATTATTTACCCCATCATGCAGTTATCAAGGAAAGTAGTACCACAACTAAGTTGAGAGTAGTATTTGATGCGTCGAGCAAAACNACGTCAGGCTTGTCGTTGAACGATGTGTTGTTGGTTGGGCCAACCATACAGGAGGATCTGTTTTCAATTCTCACACGTTTTCGCACCTTTCGTTACGCTATGGCAGCCGATATTGCTAAAATGTATAGACAGATCCTTGTTGATAG